CATTGTACTCATCCATCCCCGCTTAATGCCAATTGGGGTCACAGGGGGGGACCAGAAGCTATCCTGGGAACAAGGGGCACAAGTGGGAACGAACCCTGGGCAGGCACCAACACACTGCAGAGCATACACACAGGGCCAATTTAGACTCGCCAATCAACCTGCCCTGCATGCTTTTGAACCGTGGGAGGAAACTGGAACCCCTGGCAAAGACCCACGAGCATGCAAACTCCACACAGAAAAGACCCGGGATCGAACACAGAACCTTCTTGCTGTCAGGCAGCAGCGCTAACCACTGCGCCACCGTGCCACCCCACATTGTCCTCATAATAATCTCTAAGTAATTCACCGGAATTATCCTAAAACATACCCAGCAGCGGAGTAGAGGGTCACACATCTCCAAGGATGGGGGATTGAATCCAGCCCCCATCTCTGTGTGTGTTTGGGCAAATGTTCTTTCTGTCTAGCTTTCTATAGGATACTTTGATTTCCTCCCACTTTCTAAAAACCTGCTCCCTAATTGTCCATTGTGTTGCCTGTGTTGGACTGGCATTGCTTACAGGGTGTCTCCTACATTGTGCTTCACTCACCTGGAAGGAATACCCAGCAGCTGGAGAAAGCAAAACCACATAACCAGCTCTGGGTAAAAGAAACGATTACCATAGTGAAACACACAGAGCCTCAGAGAGTCTGAATACTTTTCCCTTTTTTATTCGAAACACATTTGTTTATAGGTTTGCAATAATAATTATAACAAGAATATAATCATAATAATATTCGTCATTGTCCTTTTAATCCATTTAGCACTAGTATAGAAATATGAAAAATAACAAAGGAAAAAATGTAAATGAAAAATATATCATTTCTGTTTTTGTTGTTGTTTTTCCCACCAGTGGTGACCTGTGTTCCTCCCTTCACTTCTCAATAAGTCGTAGGTGAGGAAAGTGTGAACTGCAGCTTTTCCTCCCCCTCCTCACAACCTCAAAGCAGATCTGAGACCTGCCTCCACCCTCTGTGTCTGCATTTACCCCACTGCGCATACATGTGTCTTTCAGGACTTCATTGTTCCTTATTTAGCTGGGACGTCTATTAACAGAGGGGCAAAAAGGGGTTGGAGGAATACACCCGTTTCATTTTTGGCTCGGTGCATGCGCTGTCCCGCGATTCAGCATGGAATCTCTTTGAACTCATTTGGCTGGCTGCGCACTGAAGATCTCCCCATCACTAGCTAACCCAACAGCAAATGTTCATGACAAAATTGTGTATAAGTAGAAGTCTAACACAGATTTGACTTCAGATTCTTACTAATACTAATGGAAATAATCACCATCTCCGTCTGTCTGTCCACTTCCCTGCATGTTCCACTTTGACTATGCTGATCAAGGATATCAAGCTTCCGAATGACATGATTTCAGCTGCAATCCTCAAAACCATCTGGGAATTAATCACAGACAGACCATGGAATTCCCCCAGACCCTCAAATTCCTGCTCACATTTATCCCTTATTTGTTCTGTATGCATGAAACGTGGCAGCTTGACACTATGCAGAAAGAGAGAATGTCACACAGCTTGGCTCTGTGTCCTGGAGTGACTGTGTCAGGAGGGAGTCTGCTGACTAGGAAAGACTCTACACCGAGTCACCAGCAGAGCAGAGTGGTGGAGGACGATGATGCAGGTGGCGGAGGGGGTGCTCTAATTAGGGGAGACGTTGGGTCAGGAAATTGTCACTCAGACGCCATTGTCTTACCTCCCATGTACTGCGTCATGAGTGGCAACCTGAAATGGAGCTCTGTACAGCACGGCGGCAGGCCTGTATATGTTTTTTTTAACCACCATAAGCTCACAAGTTATGGACTTAATTTGTTCAAGTATCCTCCCTCTCATAGTTCAATATTTCTGCCCAGTCACTGTGACATAGTACCCCAAGTAAAAAAAAAGTATGCTAAAATATACTTAATTTAAATCTACTTAGTATACTTCAATGTACTCATGATGATTATACTAAAAGTGTGCTATTTTCGCACACTTTTATTGTACTTAGTGTGCTGGTGATATATGATTAGTTCAACTAAAGACGTATTTAATTACAACTAAATGTACTTGACTGTACTATTTTGAGACACCATTAAGTTTCACTTAAATATATTTAAGTGCAACTTTTCAAAATACTCTAAAATTATATTTGGTATTAACTTAGAATATATTTATATCTACCTTTCATATATCTGTAAATACACTTATTATTCAATCAAAATGTGCAAATAATACAATGAAAAAGTACTTATTTATTACATAATTATTGCTGAAAGAACACTTGAAATATATTTGAATTCACCTTTTAGATAAAAGTCAAGACACTTAAAACTTAATAAAAATGTGCAGACTGTGCATTTTAAAAAGTATTTAGAAATAATTATATATATATGTGTGTGTGTGTAGTATATTCCAAATATACTTGAATTAAGTGTTCTTCAGTATAGTTCGATCAGTATAGTATAAAAGTACTTCTTGTACTATTAGCATCAACTTGATGCTAAATTGAAAATTTATACTTCCAAACATTTTATATGTGACTGAAAGTGCAATTTTTCTTGTTTTTTACCATACCTTTCTTACAAAGGACAATTACTGTATTTATCAGTGACCTAAATATATTATATTACAACATAGCACAGACAAGTACAGCAAAGAACACTAGTTTATGTTTGCTACAGATGGTCCATTCAAATAGTTTCTCTTCAGCATGAAACTTTATTTACTGAAAGCACACCAAACTTATTCATACACAGAACACGTGTATGCAATGCCCTGTTGAATGTTGCTATTGAAAACTGTGCACTAAAATGTGCATGAAAAATGTACATACAAATAACCAAAAACTGAAAAGTGCCAGCACTTGTTGTTGCTTAATGTTTCTTTTTGAACACAAAACTCTCATTGTTGCATTTTCGTCTAATCACTGCTCTCACATCAGACACATTTGTTCCTGGAAACTCAGCAATGACTGTATCTGTAAAAAACAATAAAAAATATTAAAATGTTTGTAAAGTATGCCATCTACAAGAAGATATTATTTTATTATGCTTTTAATATTTTTATTTTTATAATTTTTTTATGCTTTAATAAATAGGTAAAATAACTGACGATCAATTAGACAATTATTACTACAACAGTAAATCATGTACTGGGCATGGTTGTAAAGTTAACTTAATTCAATTTCATGTTCCATCAACATGAGTGACAGGAGGTTAGAACACGATTTCAGGGTAGCATTATTTCTTGAACATACAGTAACTCGCTATT